GTATATATATATATATATATATATATATATCCCATGCCAATTTTTTTCTGAACAAAAACTCAGAAGCTATTTTCTTAATTTTCTTCTGCATTAAGACCATTTTCAATTTGTAAATTACCCATACTTAATCAACTATAATGCTTATGAATAGCAAATTTTGTTAATAAAGCATTCTGCTATTTAAACAATATTCAATTTTATCAACATTTTCCAAAATACGGGGTAACTATGCTCCATGCTTAAATCTGCTCTGTGTACATATTTAATTTGTAGCACCAAGACTCAGTCCTTTGTCAGAATGTGTGCTATAACACCCAGTAAAGAATGATTCATTTAAATTATTAGCAATGGATTCATGATGGGGAAACCGAAGCATATACACACTGATCCAAGGGATTGGGTTGACTGCACATTTTATATTTATTCATCACTCTTTTTAGGAAAATTACCATTGAATTGTTTCAATGGTCATCTGTTAATAACACAATAAACCAAACCATCTGAATAAATTTTCTTTTTCTTCTTATCTTTTCAGTATCTAAGGATTTTGTAACAACACTAATAAATAATCATTCTTTTTTGCAAATTCAGTTTCTAGATATGTATTTCCTCATGTAGCCCTTTTTTTAAACTACATTTAACTTTCGCTATAGCCAATAATATGTTTTTTTGCCTTGTAATGAACTGACATTCAAGTATAGATCAATGTTTTTTCCTAAATACTCTTGTTTTAAAAGCATTAATAATTTTAAGAATCATGACATTAAGAAAAGGTTACTTATAATTCTGATGAGTAAATTTAATGTAAGGATGTAATGAATATAAAAATATTAAAAACTGTTCAATCATTTGTCATAAAACAAAGCCAGCAAATACACCAACAACATGTCTGAAAAAAAAAACTGTCCTAAATTAACTGTACTTTTGATTTTTACAATCAATCATTTTAATAAAAATGTTAGCTCGAACAGATGCTAATGAAATGCCTATACTTATTCCCTCAATCTGATCTGAGAACTCACCATTAAATTGAAATTCCTGTAAATCATAAAGTCCCAACATCCAGACTAAAAATTTACGCAAATTATAATTAAAAGCTTCTCTGTTTGAGACAGTAGGTTTCAAATGTACATTTTGTTTGTGTTTTTTAAGCAGACCATAAATGTTGTTTTTATATCACTAGACCTAAAACAATTATAAGGAGGATTATTTAATAGACTTTTCTTATTTAGTTCTAGTAAAAATTGGTTCAACTTTTCTTTGTTGTTAACCAAATTATTAGTTAAATATTTATAATACTCTTTATCATTGAATAATTCACTTAATCTACTACAATAGTCACAATAATTCATCACTACAACAGCATTATCTGTCAGCTTTCATTATAGTCAGATTGTATCTTAATTGTTTCAAAGCATTTAATTGTTTTTTGTTTGTTTTTTTACATTAAATTTTATACATTTTGATTTCTTCACCAATCTTCTTATTTGCACATAAAAATCATTTAGTAAGTTAGGTTTACATTATTTAAATGATGTTGTAATTCATGATTTTGATTATAAATCACTGAGAAAAACAGTGGCTAGTGAGTAGGTAGAGGATAATGTAAGTTACATACACTTAGTTCTTGGAATTAAGTGTAAAATTTCATATGAACAGAATCATCAAGACAATCAATCACATGGTGATGAATACAATGTACACAGTTACATTTATGTGATCAAGCACATGGATACTTGAAGTGCATCTTCACTGTATAAAATGACAGTAAACTTAATGGCACATGCCACTACACTTGTTAAAGGAGAATAAGATTATCATGGGTATAAAACTAGTCATTGTTTTGTGCACAACAATATCCTAGAGTAAATTGAGTCAATAATTAATCATTTTTAATCAACAAAATGCAGAATTTACATGTCTATTATTATTATTATTATTAAATGTTCAGTTGTCTTTACACATTAAGTAAAAAAAGTATTTATGGTAACATCACCATTAAAAAAAATAAAATAAATAAACTGCTTAAAATTACATTGCCATAAACAAATAGTGTTTGTGGTTATATTGCCATAAAAAATAAACAGTGTTCATGATTACATTGCCATAAAAAACATACAGTGTTCATGGTTACATTGCCAAACAGAAAACTACTGTGCTTATGGTAACATCACCATAAAAAAATACTGTATTTATGGTAACACTGCTCAAAAAATATTGTTTTTATGATAATATTGCCAAAAAAAATTTTATTTATGGCAGGCCTGTACAAGTATTTACAGATCTAGGAGCCAGGTGTGCATAACCTAACTTCACTACAGTTTGTAATGGGAAATGGGGGCTACACTAGTGCCTCAATTATCCATGATCCTCGATTATCCACACACACACCCAAATTTTCTCAAAATAATTGTGCTATTACAATTCTTGACAATAATTTACACATTTTGGAGAAATTGTCACTCAAAAATTAATTTTGGTTGCAAAGGTTCAGGTGTTGCTGGATATCAAGGGTTTTCATGTGCAGGGTCTGACATGTGTTCAAATCGCAAGTCGGCTGGTTAAAGCCTAGGCTTGCCTCTTTATTTTTAGCTGTTAAGATAGGAATACAAAATATTTGTAGCTTGGTTAACTTTACTCGATTAATGATTAAAAACACAGTATACAAAAATACATCACATAAACATTAAGATTTCTTAAAGATTTCACTCAATTTCAGTTGTCATGTGCTGTTCTATGTTGCATGGTGGGCATCCTTTAACCATAGATGCATGTTCGGGTTGTGTTGGGGTGTTACCCAGTTACACATTATCCACTTCCGTACAGATGATTTGTATCTTCAGTCTGTTTTAACAAAGGCTTTTTCATAATAATTCACAAGCATAGATTTGCACTAACTTTTGACATATTTTTCACAGGTGTTGATAGGGTATGAATACACTTCTGTGTTTATAGCAGGAAAAAGTGTCCAAACTTAGGAGCTATTTATGCCTCTGTTAGTGAATAAATTCCACTAAAATGGGAACAGGCAATCAAAGGAGGAAGTATTATAGGAGAATAAGTGGAACTGGACTTCTGTAGCTCATGAAATTCGGAGAAATCGAGCATGACCAACTAACACTTTGTTTTTATTATTATAATTGTGACGACTTTTATAATTTTTCATGATAATGTGATTGAATAACAGTAAAAAGATCATAATTTAAAACAAGGAACTTAAATATATTGAAAATTTTTTATTTAAGATTAAATAATAGGTTAACTAGTGAGATACACTAATGCCTTATTTGCTGTTTCTTTTGTCCGGAATTTTTTGCTTACTCTGGACCAGCATGGAAAAATGGAGGCACCAGTGTATATTTATTTACTTTCACAGCTACAAATACATGCTAATGATCACATGATATCAACAACCACTTGATAGTATTGCCTGAACTAGCTGCCTTTGGTCCCAATCTGGGTCTAAACACGCACACTGATTGGTTGAATTGGGAGTAAGAAAAACAAACTGGTGCGAAATCGTGAACATGTTGTGCAACCACAGCTCTTCATTCCTGAAAAACGTGAAGAAATGCTGAATCTGCCATTAAAATCCCAGAAACAAAGTTCGATTTAGGACTCAAAAAATACAACAATAATTCTAGACTTCCAGGAGTTAAGAACTGTTTTAGATTTTTTAGTTCTATTTAGCACAGCCCTATGTATGAATAAAATGGGAGAAAATACTAGGCACCTTGATATACTTTTTAATCACCATGGCAACCTGGCACCTGGGATTTGTGTAAGCCTGGATTACGGTAAAATTTCCAAAAAAAATATTGTATTTATGGTAACATTGCTCCCCCCCAAAAAAACAACAACTGTGTTTATGGTAACATTGTCAACTGGACACTTACTTCACATACCAAATTTCAAGGCAATTTATTAGGAAATACAT